ATGTGATGCCAAGGACTGACAGACTGGTGGTTTAAAAAAATAATAATAATGTCAGTCTACTGTGAGATGATCTCTGATTATTATTACCAAGTTATAAAGTGTTTTAAGAATGACTATTGATTATGAGTGACATTCAAGTCACATTAGCTTATGCAAGAAAGGAGTTATTATTAACTTATATTACTCCAAAGTATAGATAAAGTTGACTTCAGGTATGGTTAGATCTGGGGATCATTTGATGTCTCTGGTACTTGATTCTGTACTCTTCCACTCAACATTTCTATCTGGGGCTGCTGCAGTGTGAGATTCCAGTGACTGTTACTGAGACCTCTCACAAAACCTTAGTAAAGCCCATTACTGCTTTCCAAATCAAGACCAAGGCATGCCTCCAAGACTCAGAAATGGATCATCTCATAAAACTGAGCCCCTGAGGGCCTCTCCAACTTCAACCCAAAGGTTTCCTTTCCTTCCCCAACTCTCCTACCTCAAACAGTGGGCAGACACTGCAGTGGGAGGGGGACTGCAACCTCAGGAGCCTCTGGAACCTGGGTTTAGGCCCAGGGTGGAAAAAGCAGCCCTGCCTCAGTGTCCACCTGCCAGTCACAAGCAGCTCCTCAGATGCTGCTGTGCCTCACAGTGGTGGTGTGCCCTCACAGGAGCAGCCTGACCTCTCTAAGCCTCAGTTTCCTTATCGGGGAAGAGAAAATGATTACTATCCTCCAGGATTGTCTTGGCAGTTAGATGAATGTAACATGTTAAGCATTTGACACAGCCAGTAAACCTTCAGACACTGGCCACAGTTACTGATCTGCTTTTTTTAGTGGCAAAAACGACAGAAATTATATTCGGAGGACTTTGGCTTGAAAAAGAAAATACCAGCACTCGTAGCTGCCATGTGCTGTGTACTTACTGTTTCTCCCAACAGCTCCTTGCAGATGAAGAAATCAAGACTGAGAGGTTGAGTTGTTCATTGGGGACACACAACTCTATGGTGACAGAGCTGGCACTGTTTCAGGCTTGTCTGCTGCCTAAGCTGTGGCCACTGCTCTGTGGCTTCTCAGGAAATGATGTGGAGACAGAAAAAATAAAGGGGCTTTACTTGATACTTTTAAGGATATTCGCCTCAAATCAATGCTGGGAGGAAAAAAAGGAGGAATGTGACATTATAAAATGACATGGAATGCAGGATAAATCCTGAGAGTACTTGGCTGACCTTATCAGATACAAAAGTTACATTTCTTGGTATATAGGTCTTGCTATATCTTGGTCTTAACCATCCAGCAGAAAAGTATAAAAACGAGGTATATAAAGTAAATCCATATTAATATGATGAGCTGTAAAAGGCTCAAGTCAATAACTTCTGAGGATAACCCACTAATATTACAGACTGCTAGACAGTGTTAGATTGTTTAGTTGAATTCAAACACCTATAGTATTTAGATGCCAATAGAATATTCATCTCTGACAGGACAAAAAATTAAAATTAAAAAAGGATGCAAAGGAAAGATCATTTTGTATTTATATATACAAAATAGGATAAATTTACAGCTACTTTCACTTAACTCAATGAGAAGAAAGAGGTGTACTAACAGTGTTTGGACAGAATATCCTGTCTGCTTCTTGTACTATGGATAACCACTAAGAAGATAACAATGTACAGTGTATTGACTATCAAAATTGTCCTATTAATCAGCTGTGAAACTGTCTCATTCATATTTATTTCTCAATAAAAAATAACTATATAAAAAATGACATGGAAGATTTTACACTAAAATATTCATTGTTTTTCTCTGCATAGTGAAATTATGAACAGTGTTTCTTCTTTTCTGTATGGCCTGAATTTTCTAGTCTTGAGTGAGTGCTTTTTATTTTAGGGAAAGAACGAAGATATAAAATTCCGGAAATAAATTTCTAGAATTTTATAAAATTCTAGCCCAGTTTTAAGTTCGTATTAACCAGCTTGAATAAGTTATAAGACTAATAATCATGTCTTGAGCAGTTTTACCCAAATTGCATCATTTCTGCAAACCTCAATTGGAATTGCTTTACTTGGAGCCACCTCAGCTGACACCAGGCACCAGGGTGACACCTGCCAGGCCTAGTCCAGTGTCTGGCTTGAGGTGTGGTAGACAGGACTATGAACTTGGAGACCTGGGTTCTATTCCAGGCTTGGCCACTAACCCATTGAGAGAAATTGGCCAGTTATTTAATTTCACACAACCTTGATTTCCTCTTTTGTCAATTGGACATCGTAAAAGAATGTACCCTTTGTACCTTGTTAGGTGAGCATAAAGATTAATCATAGGAGGGAAAAGTGAGAGTCCCAACCTAGGTATAAGGAAGCCTAACAGGCACCAGGGCAATGCCATAGAATCCCTTCCTTGGTTTCTGGGAAGCACATCACACCTTGGGAATCTATAGATCACACACACACGCTACTCAGGTGCTACTTCTAGAGTCTGGTTGACAGTTGCCTTTCCTTTACGATTTTCAGTGATTACTTTAGTGTGTTTACAATGATGTCTAACTTCCCATCATGAGTCTTTCTACAGCATTCTTCCCTCTTATTCTTTATGCTGCTGTTATGTACATTATATATATATATACACATATATATATTATATATATATATTATATATATGTATGTATGTATATAATTTGTTTAGTATGTTTTCAGCCCTCTTCCTCTTCTTGCCTCTATTGGAATAGTTTTTCTTGCTACAGCTTCAAGTTGACCAATTTTCTATGTGTCTGATCTTCCTTTAATCATACAGTGAAATTTTTATCTCATCTACTGTATATCATCTCTTTCTATATATGCCATTTCTTTCCTAATTAGATTCTTGGTATCCTTTAATTTTTCAGGTTTTGAAATAGGATCTCACTACATGGTCCAGGGTGGCCTTGAATTCTTCATGTACCCTAGACTGGCATGGGACTGGTAATCCCAAAAGCTATACTTTCAGGGATCATTTCTATAGTATGAACTGATAATCCTCCTGCCTTTTCCTCCTGAGTGCTGGGATTACAGGTGTGTGCCACCATACCTGGCTAAAGTAGATGCTTTGTTAATTCCGTCATTTCTGTCACATCTCTGACTTCTGGTGACTAATTTTTCTCCTACGTAGGGGTCACTTTTCTGCTTCTCTGTATATCTAGGAATTTTTCATTGGACAGTGATATTTGCATATCCTGTTGACTGCCTGGGTTTTGTCACATTCATTTAAAGAGTACTGACATTATTCTATCAAGCAGTTAAATTGCTTGTGGGTCAGCTTGATTTTTTTTTTTTCCAGGCTTGTTTTTCAGCATTGTTAGGACAGTTCTCAGAGCCTTGGGGCTAATTTAGCCCTGTACCATGGCATGAGCCATTTGGGGTCTGTGCCAAATGCAGACTGCAAGGACAGTCTGCTCTGGCTAGAACGTGCCCATCTCCAGTACACGGGAGCTCTAGAACATGTTCAACCTGTAAGCTCCCTGCAGCTCCCTCTTTCACTGGTGCCATTTCTGTGCTCAGCTAGGAGTCTCAACTACTTGCCAAAAACTCAGATGGGCGTAAGCAGATAGATGCCTAGAGCGCTCTCTGCAGTTTTCTCTCCAAAGCCATCTGCCTCAACCTTCTTAACTCTGATTCTTTTCTCTGCATCTCAGTGAGCCACAGAGTTCTTCTTGGCTGTTCCTTGCCTGTACTGTGGTCTGGTAAACACCTACTGGGTCCCTTTGTTATGGCTTGTATTAAGATTCCCTCCCCCACAAGCCTCATGAGGTTATAGGTGGGACTTTTCGAAGATGGCTAGATCTAGCGTGCATGATGCTGAGATTAAGGGTGTGTAACTATTAAATTAATCCAATGATTGGTTCAGCATAGTTCTGAGTTGATAATGAGATCCCTGGGTATGGATAGCATTGAATTATAATACTTAGTATTGGCAGATAGTATAGTATAATATGTAAATTATAGCTCAATAAAGCTGGTTTTTTTTTTTCTTTTTTTAAAAAAAATGATTGTTAGCAGTGTTCTCCTGCTCTGACTGTGATGAAAGAAAGAAGAGGGGTCGTGAGGTGGAAGTAAGGGATCAGCGACTGTACTGACGTGCCTGTTACCCATAGCATCCCATCTTGGTCTGAAAAGTGTTGACATAGAAGAGTTTACAGTTTATTGAGAAACAGTTAATGTTAAGTATTAGTCTTAAATTTTATTTGCTCTTTCTCAAGGACTTCAGTTGTAAAGGGATTCTTTACAACTTTGACATGGTTTTTCCTTTTCTAGCTTTTTATCTTATTCCAATCCTTATCAGCAATGAATATGTGTTAAGGGTCCACCAGTGAGGGCCGCGTGCCCTCTGAGAACTGTGTTGACCTTTTCATGGCCACTGCACCACTGCTGAGATCTAGCAAAATAAGGGTGACTTGGTGATTGAATCCCAGCCAGGAATTACAGAAGGGAAACATCTTCTGTTGACTTTTCTATTGACAATGACAATGGTTATTTTTTCATTTTAAGCAACTCATCCTACCTTCATTAATAACCACTGGGTTTTCTGTAAAGAAAAAATAGATTATTCATTTGCAGACTTCTTGCAAGGATCTTCAGCAGTATGCCCGAGTACATACTTACGACCCTGAGCTTTGCCTGAAATATCAGTGGCTAACAAGTACTGAGCACTCATTGTTTGTTCCTCCTATTCTAAGTACTTTCAAATACTTAAAATACTTATCAGCATCTCTTTTCTTTCATTGTATATAGTCAGCACAACAAGCTGGGTTTTTTCCTCAATATTCTATTTCTCAGATTATTTTTCAGTAATTCAGGTAGGTTGTATTCTTTCACATTATACGGCACTACTGCAGCAGCCCAATAATTCCTCCCAGGGGGCACTCACCCTCACCCAAGGAAACTGGAGGTGTGGCGCTAAGGCTTTCAGTGCCTAGTATTCTCCACATTGAGTGAGGACAGGACAGTGCACTCATCAGGTGTGGCATGTATGGTTTTTCCCCAGGATCATCCATGAAGATGGCTTCTCTGGAGAAGACGTGAAGCAGTACAAGCCTGTGGTCTACAGCAACACCATTCAATCTCTGGCAGCCATTGTCCGGGCCATGGATACTTTGGGCATCGAATATGGTGACAAGGAGAAAAAGGTAAGCAGATCCCTGAGCTCAGAGGCATAAGGAGGAGAGGAACTACCTCTGTAACCCCACTGCTTCCTTCTAATAATACCAGGCTCCTCAAAGGAACAAGAAGAGACTCTGCTCCATATTAGAGCTACATGGCAGCCATCACCAACATAAATCATTGTGCTAATCCACCATGTAAACACAGGGACTGCCATGAGAGGCAAACTTCCATACCAGGGTCATCTGCAAAGCCAGCAACAGCAAAACTCCAAGACTAGTTACTGTCCTGAGGCCCCCACAATATGGGCTATGTACCCATCCTCAGATAATTAACCTGAGCAGAAGAGTATTTGCTGGATCAAATTCACCTCAGCTAGCTACTTTCTCCCCTCCTTAGGATAGCCTTTGCCCTCTGGGGATGGGGGACACCATTTGACTTGACGCACTCTCCTGTATATCACACAAAGGTGTGTGCTTGCAGCCTCTCCCAGGCAGATCTGAGACTCTCCTTCCCATAGGATTCAGTGTCCTAGAACAGGGATTGAGTTATGATCAAGTTTCTGGGTATCTCACAAGTGACAAATGGGTTAAGTATACAAAAATCTCTCTTATTCACACGTCTGTATTCATGGAAAGGCTGAACTGTGCAGCTATACCAACAGAGTAAAGGAAAGGAAGGGGAGACCCACAAGGGAGAAGAGAAAATGGCTTAGAGAACTTGATCTAGAAGCAGTACTTCATCAGCTGTTGTGATACAGAATCCTACAGTCCTCTCCAGAGCCATGAAAAGAGACAGGGGATGGCCTCACAGCAAACACCGGGGCCTGCATTGGAGATTTTGGGTGGTATCTGTCCCTGGTTACTGTGCAGTGCAGATAGATAGATAGATACATACATACATACATACATACATACATACATACATACATAGAAAAATATATGAATTTTAGTGTGTGTGTGTGTGTATATATATATATATATATATATATAGAGAGAGAGAGAGAGAGAGATATTAAAATTCATCTCCCTTACAGAGCAAAGCTATCATAGCCTCTGTGCACCTGATAAATCATCTGTGACAGACAACTTTAAATGTAAAATTTAGTATTTTATGCACAAAATTCTAATTCCATAAGGTAGAGTCACTTTGGTTCAGGCACTGGCTCCTCCAGGTTTGTAGGAAATTGGGTAGCTGGAATTATGTTCAGGCTGGCCTAGGACATGTTGGGGGGATGCTAACAGAGGCCTGACCTATTATCTTCTTCACAAGAGCCTGAGATAGAAACACTTGCCCTTCAGGGCACTGGTTTTGGCTGTGGTCAGTGGAACCAGGGCTGTGAAAGGAGGAAGGCAAACAGAGGTGCCAGTTGTTCTTTAAGTCTTACTTCTGTTAAGCATTCACTGTGGGCTTCCAGCAAGCTTGGTGCTGGGAATATAGAAGCAGGCATGGCAGGAGTAGTGTGTGGAGAAAGTAGACATTCCAGAGACATCCAGATCATCAGCATTGGCCCAGGGAACACAGAGTCTCATTCGCCTCACAGTGAAAGCAACAGTCAAAGTAAAATGGCTGTGGTGTATGGAGTACTACTTATTGCCAAGCCCTTAACCTATAGTAATTCATTCTAAGTTAATGCAGACACTGGGACCAAGAGCAGTTGGTGCCCAATGTGACCTTCAGACATGGTGCAGGCCATAGGCCTTTGGTTTCTCTTCCCCTCAAGTGTCACTTAACCGGATGACAGGCAAGGCTAGCAACACACCCCGTATACATGTGGCACTGGAGATCCCTGCCAGCTCTTGCTTCCCAGAGTCTCCTGCCATGAGTATAACTCAGAAAAGACAGGTATGAATGAAATGCTTTTCTCCTTCCATTTTAGAAAACATTAACTGTTCTGTGGGATTTTTTTCCCACTTTATTCTGAATAGAAAGATGATTACTTGGGAATTTCTAGGAGTCTGATATATTAAGGGTTATGTAGTAGAGCTTCTGGGAAGCAGGCTCTTCTCTGGCCATCTCTTCTTGATGAGATTTTTCCCAGCAAGACAATCTTCAGATAGGAAAGTGGGAAGGCAATAGAAGGGAAGATGGAAAGCACACAGGACTCCCTGGAGAGCTCAGCCATCTCAGTAGAATCCTGTTACAGCAAGTGGTACCTTGTCAGTATAGGCGTACAGGGCCTCCCAGCTCATGTGCACCTCTTCCCTATTCTCTGCTCCTCCCTCTGAGGAGCAGAGAAATAAGTGAAGTTCAAGACTCAAGTTGAAGCAAGACTGGAAACTGGAAAAGGGCTTTCCAGGAGCAGCTGACATGAAGCTGGGTTGGCCAGGGTGGCACTGATTCTCCTCTGTTGATAGTGGACACACAGGCCTGGGAGCATAGTAGGGGTGTTAAGGGCCTGCTGGCATGGGTCAGCTTGGAAAGCCAAGATTCTTCTCCTCTTTTCCTTATCCTCAGTGAGCCTCTTCTGCAGAGAGACAGACAGCAAACAAGTCTTCAAGTAGGTGACTGCATAGCCTCACATGATGACTAGGACTGGGGGGAAAGTAAGACAAGATAAGAGGGAGTGGGAAGCAGATAAAAGTTTTCCAAGGAGCCCTGAGGCTGGAGTGAGCCAGGTGATTGGAAGAAAGTGAAGCTTTCTTAAGTGTGGGCTACCTCAGTGGGCCACTTGTTGCTGCCCAGTGCCCTGGCCTCAGAGCTGGGCCTCCAAATTATTGTTTCTCTTACTTTCCCAGGCTCTGTCACCTAGATCTTTCATTTGTTTGTTATGAACCACTCTATGCAGTATCCACTCAGATTGGTGTCTGGGTCTCTAACGAAAAGACCCCCTCCTACTCAGGCTTAGCCCCATACCCAGTGCCTATGTGGGACCAGCCAGCTTTGAGCCCTTCCTACAGAAGGGCATTCAAAATCCTCCTTGCTTTTCTGTCTCAGGCCTTTGCTAGACTTGCTGTCAGCCTTCACTCTTTTCTGCTTCCCTTATTCATGGAACTGCTCACAACATTCTCTCTTCCAATCCACTCCCCACCCCCAAGTCAGAAACAGTACAGTGCTTTCTCTCCTTTAAGCACTTATGCTATGCACTGGTATATGAATGGATTGTGTGGATGTCTGTCCTTAGAGCCGTGAGCCTTGCACTGTAGTATAGTTAGAATTCCTTGAAGTAGCTAATAAAAGCCACCAGAAAACAGCTTCTTCCCCAGAAAAAAAGTGCAATAGCACATATCTAGGAAATTTTGCTGACAACTTCAGGGATTTCCAGGCCACTTAAAGCCCACCAAGGGAGGCTAGAATAAGAACCCTTCATACTTAAGATCTTTCTGATCAAGGCCTGGGTCATCATCTTTGGATCACCTCTATACCCCTACAAACAGCATAACGTTCAGAACATAGCAGGTCTTTGAAACACATCCCTTAGATGGAATAACATTTTTACTTCCTCAGTTCTCAGAGAAAAAACAGGAAATTTCATCACTAAAGATCCTATGTTGATTGTTCAGTACCTCTGCTATGGAGACTTGTGCCAGATCCTGTGCAAAAGGCCAGAGGCATATGAATCAAGGCCTCTGAGGTGCTGGACATCCCTTCTGATGATGAGGCTCACTGGCTGAATGAACACAGCCTTGCCATGCAGTGATCTGGGAAACTTTTTAGGGGAAGGGAGGCTGAAACCATCCTTGAGGCATAGGTACAGTTGGACAGGTACAGGTCTGGGAAAGGAAAGTGCTTGAAGCTGCAGGAGAGCCCTGAGTAAAGGCAGCGGTAGTGACCCAAAGGAGATTGTAATTGGCAGAGGAGACCCTCAGCCAGAACAGCAGAAGATGTGAGTATAGCGCAGCAAAGCTGAAGACCCCGTAGAGCCAGGCTTAGGGGACCATGGAATGTATGCCAGGGAATTCGGATTTGTCCTATTAGCAGTAGGAACTGGGAAGGAGTAGAATGAAGTAAGATTTTAGACAAGTCTTCTAATGGCACATGCCGAGGGGAGCAGGTTAGAGTGACTACACTACTCCATGCGGAAGGTGTGGGAGTCTAGGTGAGAGGTCAAGAAAGAAAGTGCATTTCAGAGTGGCAGAAAGCAATAAAGTGGGCCTAAGTGTGAGGAGCAAGAAACGGAAACACTCATGTTACCTGCCTGGAGAGTAGGAACAAGGAGAAAGTTCAGGCACGAAGTCTGGAGGCAGTTTACAGCTGTCTGCTGTCTGAGGTCTGGCTGTCCAGTGAGTCTGCTTTCAAACCTCATGTACTTCTGCGTGGGAGTGACCAGTGAGTAGATGCATGCAGATAATTGAGGACCCATGAATTGATGGCTCCAGGACACAGGCAGCTTCAGGCTTTTATGTCCCAGGTTCTGTGTTGTAGGTTTTTTTTTCCAGGTTCTGTTTTAAACAATTCCCATTGTTATTAAATAAATATGATTTAATGTTTAAGTCATTTAGCCCTAACAACTACTTGTGTAGTGCTACTGTTATCTCCGCTTTGTAAGGGAAAAAAGGCACAAAGAGGCCAAATGCCTTGCGCAGGGCTATACACCACAAAATTCATATGTATATACCCTTGGTGTATAACCCTGTACAGTCCCTGTGGCTCAGATCCATGGTCGCTTTTTCCCACCCCTTGCTGGGGAGTAAACCCATAGCCTTGAACATAGTAGGCAAGTGTTCTACCACTGAGATACATTTCTAGCCCTCTTTGACCATTTATTGTTTCATTTTGAGATAAGATCTCCTTCCCTTTCCTCTCCTGCCTCTCCCTCCATCTCTTCTCCACTTCCTTTCTCCCCTCCCCCATCTCCCTTTCCTCTCCTTCCATCTCTTGTCCATCCTGCCTGTATTATGCAAATTGTCTTAACCTTTGCTGCCGAAGTTTGCCCCTCCCACTTCCTCTATCCTTAGTCTTGAGCCTACATCTGCATCACAAGAGCAAAGGAATTTGTCTGGCCAGCGAGTGTGAGCAGCATACACTGGAATTAAAAATAGAATAGAAAATTACAGGGTTAGAAGGTTCACTTTGCCCAGTGGAG